GTTGGGGATTAGGAGAACACATAAAATCCTCCAGACATGACCACATTGTGTGCAAGTGGCATGAAAACAGGACTATTTTGGGGAAAATTGTAAGTAGCTCAGATGGCTGGATTTGGGAGGATTATTGGAAATAGAAAAGTAAACAGGGCCTAGGTCATGAAGGGCCTTTATGTTAATGTGTTTAGATTTTGTTGTGAGGACAGTGGAGAGCCATTGAATGACATTAAGAGGGACAGTGATCTGATACATGATTTGTAGTTCCATTATAAAGCTGTCTAAAAGTTGTATATAGGTAGAATGAATAAGACTCTTCTCACATGCCATCTCTAGTCCAGTTACAATAATCATCAAGAAAGAAGTCAAAAACAGCTTTATGTTTTTGGCATGGGAAACTGGATTAGGAGAGGAGACATGTATTCTTTGTAGTGTTGAGAGGCAGAGTGGAAAAAATCTTCAGGACATATCCAAACAATGAAGCCACAAAAAATTATTTGTGAAAAAAAGTGTTACAGACACACCTTGCTTCCCTAAATTTCTACAGGGCTCTTAGTTTAAGGAAAATGCCATTTTTGCAGGCACTTCTGTAAGCAGTAGTGGACTCTATACATTGATGGATTCATATACCCCACAGATTATACTAATATCTAAATTTGGGCTCATGCCTGTAATCCTAGTACTCTGTAAGGCTGAGGCAGGAGGATCACTTGAGTCCAGGAGTTTGAGACCAGCCTGAGCAACAAAGTCTGACTGTGTCGCTATAAAACATAAAAAACGTAGCTGGTCATTGTGGTGCATGCCTACAATTCTAGCTACTTCAGAGGCTGAGTTAGGAGGTTGAGGGTGCAGTAAATTATGATGACAACATTGTACTTTAACTCTGTCTCAAAAAAAAAAAAAAAGAATCTGGCCACAGACACTAAAAATATTTGATGAAGTGAATGAGTAATAAATATAGAGGACTTATATATAGTGCATATCCTTGAAAGTGTTTTCACATCTCTTTTATTTTATCCTTAGTTATTTGCTATACAGTAACCAGAGGCTTCAAACTAGGGGTTCCCACGCTGTATTCTACTGGCAGGTGGGTTATGTTTGATTTAATTTTAAAAATAAATTTGAATTTATTGCTTGTAATTAAAAATGGTCAATTTCATGTACAAGTTTGGATGTCTTTATTTTCTTGAAAAATTAGATAGTCTAGCAATGCAAAGCTCACTGTTTCTACCTGGTAATAATTGGGTAGGTTGGGTAGCAGTTGTTTATATTTTGCCTGCCTAAGTCTTTCTGTCACTTGTTTGGCCCTTACAGGCAGTTGAGTTGGTAATCCCTGTTAACTTTTTTTTTTTACTGTGTCACCCTCTATGGAGTACCTTGGCATCACTGCTCACACAGCAACCTCAAACTCTTGGGCTTAAGTGATTCTCTTGCCTCAGCCTCCCAAGTAGCTGGGACTACAGGTGCCTGCCAAGTTTTTGTTGTTGTTTGGCAGGCCCTGGGCCAGGTTTGAACCCGCCAGCCCAGGTGCATGTGGCTAGTGCTCTAGCTACTGAGCTACAGGTGCCAAGCCACATACACTTTATTTTTGTTGGTTTTTTTTCTTTTGAGATAGAGTCTCACTTTGTTGCCCACAGTAGAGTGCTATGGTGTCATAGTTCATAGCAACCTCAAGGTCTTGGGTTTAAGTGATTTTCTAGCCTCAGCTTCCTGAGTATTTGGGACTACAGGTGCCTGCCACAATGCCCAGCTATTTTTTTGTTTTTAGCAGGCTAGGGCTGGGTTCGAACCAGCCCTGGTGCGTGTAGCCTGTGCCCTACCCCTACTGAGCTACGGGTGCTGCCATCCCTGTTAACATCTTATTTGTTGAGGTCTTTAGGGAAAATGGTATTATAGGCAAGAAATAAATTCAGAACATATATACTAATTCCATTAATATTAATATCTGCTGTCTGCTGAATGCCTACAATGATCTCATTTTATTCTGTAACACTACAGCATTTGCTATTCCCATTTCATGGTTGAGAAAATTTGTGGTTAGAGAAGATAAGTTCCAAATTAGTAAGTGACAGAGCTGGCTCCTGATTTCTAGACCTAGCATCCTTTACCTTTGTATACTACCTTTTCTAGCTGAGTTTTTTAGGCAGAGGTAATATTTAATGATTTTTAATTTATTAAATTATAAGAAAAAATCCATTTTGGAGGCAGTGTTTGTAGAGGTTTGAAAATAGTCTAAATAAAATTTGGTTTAGAAATTTCAGGTGAGTGCATATTTGTATATATGACACTATTTGATAACATTCTGTGCTACAGTTTGATAACATTCTCTGACTTTTGGTAAAGCTAGTTTGAAGAGTTTTAGATATCTCATCATTTTTAAGCATTGAAAGTTCATTCAGGAAACTTGCATATTTGTCAAAGATAAAATTAGTAAAGATTCTTTCTAGGAATGGTAATGTTAAATATAAATAGTAGGTGATTCTTAGGAAAAGAGGTCTTTTTATTTGTTTTCCCTAGAGATTAAGTGATTTTCCCAAATACTATATATAATTCTGAAGGTTGAACTGATTTGATTATTCTTAAAATTTTTTACTCATTTAACATCTATATATGAATATGCTTAGATCGCTGACTGTTAGGAGGAATCATCTGGTGATATATTTTTGTGTTTAGGAGGAACTCCATTCTGAAAAGTAGAGTCAGATGGCTGAAAAAAAAAGTGTTGTTTTTTTTTTTTTAGACAGACTCTTGCTGTGTTGCCCTGGCCAGAGTTTAGTGGCATCATCAAAACTCATAGCAACCTCAAACTCCTGGCTTTAAGTGATCTTCCTGCCTTAGCCTCCCAAGTAGCTAGGACTACAGGCACATAACACCTGTACCTGGCTAAGTTTTCTATTTTTTGTAGAGATGAGGTCTCACTTTTTGCTCAGGCTGGTCTTGAACTCCTCACCTCAAGCAATCTTCTGGCCTCAGCCTTCCAGAATGCTAGGATTACAGATGTGAGCCACTGTACCGCAACCTGAAAACATTTTTTTTACTTGTTTTAAAATGTGAGACTCATTAGTGTTCATGAAGGAAATCACCACTTTAATGGTGAATGCAGTCACATTGAGTATGGAATTTTTCCTATTCCTAATCGGCATGTCTTTAGTGGCAGCAGTATGGTTATAAATGGTGCAAAATGTAGAATTAATAGATGTAAGTATTGGACATATGGGAAAGAAGGGAAGATGTATAGAGGTAATTAAAGGTGGTTAGAAATTCTTTTAAGCACTAGAAAATTGTAACTTGTTATTTTTTCTTCCTTAGAACCTATCCGGTGAAGGTATATTTTTGCTTTTTAATTTGGGTAGAAGCAATTTATTTTTAAAGAAAATATGTCTTCTCTGAAGATACATGGTCCTATCAGAATTCGAAGTATGCAGACTGGGATTACAAAGTGGAAAGAAGGATCCTTTGAAATTGTGGAAAAAGAGAATAAAGTCAGCCTAGTAGTTCACTACAATACTGGAGGAATTCCAAGGATATTTCAGGTATTACCAAACTTTGATTTGGAACAGATCTTGAATCAGATCCTTTAGTAAATAGCTGTTTTGTACCATAATGAACATCACGATTGAGCCCTCCTCAATTAATATTTCTTGCTTTTTATTTCTAGGACACTGATATTTTTGTGTATATGTTTTATGAATTACTCAGCAGTATTGTTGGTGGCTTATAATAAAGAGCAGGAAGTAATCACCATTATTGTAAAGAAGATTGGTGGGAGGAAGCTAAAAAGGGGTTGGACTTTCCATATCTAAGCTATTTTAGAAATCACATTTGGATAACTTCAGTTACTCATTTCTTTATTTCTTTTTTTTTTTTTGAGACAGAGTCTCAAGCTGTCACACTGGGTAAAGTGCTGTGGCACCACAACTCACAGCAATCTCAAACTCTTGGGCTTAAGCAATTCTCCTTCCTCAGTCTCCCAAGTAGCTGGGACTACAAGCACCTGCCACAATGCCCAGTTGTTTTTTTTTTGTTGTTGTTGTTTTGGTTGCTGTTGTAATTGTTTTTTTTTTTTTTGAGACAGAGCCTCAAGCTGTCCCCCTGGGTAGAGTGCCATGGCATCACAGCTCACAGCAACCTCCAACTCCTGGGCTCAAGCGAGTCTCCTGCCTCGGCCTCCCAAGTAGCTGGGACCACAGGTGCCCACCACAACACGCAGCTATTTTTTGGTTGCAGCCGTCATTGTTGTTTGGCGAGCCTGAGCTGGATTCGAACCCGCCACCTTGGGTGTACAGGGCTGGTGCTTTAGCCACTTGAGCCACAGACGCCGAGCCCATTGTTTTTTTTTTTTTTTGAGACAGAGTCTTACTTTATTCCCTTGGGTAGAGTGCTGTGGTGTCACAGCTCTCAGCAACCTCCCATTCTTGGGCTTAAGTGATTCTCTTGCCTTAGCCTCCCAAGTAGCTGGGACTGGACTACAGGCACCCACCACAATGCCTGTTTATTTTTTGTTGTAGTTGTCATTGCTGTTTTAGCTGGCTGAGGCCGGGTTCGAATCTGCCACCCTTAGTATATGGGGCCGGTGCCCCTACACACTGAGCCATAGGTGTTGCCCTGCAGTTGTCATTGTTGTTTTAGCTGGTCTGGGCTGAGTTCGATCCTGCCAACCTCTGTATGTGGCTAATGCCCTACTCGCTGAGTTAGGGGCACCACCCCTCATTTTTTCTTAACATATATGATAGATTAAATGTCAGCTTTTAACAGCATTTATTAGTATCTCCTAAAAGCCAAATAGCCACTTCCTAAGTAATCCTTTCAAAGTTTTTGATATGGATTATTTAAGGATGATTGTTCAAGGTTACCTTTACAGCTTTTTTCTTCTAACTGTAAACTTTTGAAAGATCCTCATTTTATCACTGTAAAAGCTATTTTGTTTTCTATAGTGCTTTTCTTATGCAGCCAAGAGTTACTTAATTTGATGTGAATTGAACTTAAGAACAGGTTACTATGATGGGAGCTGAGAGTACTGAACTAAATGGAGACCCCTCCAACTTAATGTCTTGGCTGTTTTTGTAGGTTAAGTTGTTATATTTATTACTTAGATTATACAAAAGTATAACATTTGACAAAACTAAAATATTCTCTTAAATGATGTGTAACTGTTATTATGCTTGAGAACCTGATCTGAGAGAAAATATCCATTTATCTTTGCTTTTGAACTGTGAAAACAATATATCATACATCAAAGATAAATAAATAAATTGGAGATGGTGATGGAAACAGTAAATAGTTCATCACATGAATTTACTAATTGCTCATCTCACCGAAAGAAAGGTTTTTTTTTTTGAGACAGGGTCTTACTCTGTCACCTAGGCTGGAGTATAGTGATATAATCACAGTTCACTGCAACCTTAAACTCCTGGGCTCAGTCAATCCTCCTGCCTCAGCCTCCTGTAGCTAGGACTATAGGCATGGACTACCATACCTGGCTAATTTTTCTTATTTTTTGTAGAGATGGAGTCTTTGTCTTTTGTCCAGGCTGGTTTTGAACTCTTGGCCTCAAGTGATCCTCCCTCTTCAGCCTCCCAAAATGCTGGGATTATAGGTGTGAGCCACTGTGCCTGGTTCTGACTCATTTTTTTCAGTCCTCAGTCCTCATTGAAATAGTATTTAAGCACATATAGATATTTAGGAACATGACCTGCAATTTCAGACTCATCTCAGTTCTAGATCAGTTTACATTTAATATCCACTTGTTAATTGTCTCTAAGTTACTATGCTGGGAGCTAAGAGTGCAGAACTGAATGAGACCCCTCAAACTTTAGAGTAACGAAATGCCTTTTCAGCTGTAAAAATATTTCAAAGATACTTAGGTAACATAAAGAAACAAGTGGTTTGTGCTATGAGGATTTAGAAGATGAATAGGAGTTTGCTAAACAAAATGGAGGTAAAAATGGAAGTGATTTTTGTAGATGGACAAAACATGCAAGTGTCAATCAGCACTCACGGACCAGAAAGTTATTTAAAAATAAATGGACAGTGGGGAATGAGTGGCAGCTAGGTAGGACCTACCTCTTGATGTTTCTTGTTTATCATAAGAGAAGTTCAGATTCTTGTTTATCATAAGAGGAGTTCAGATTGTGGAGCCAAGAATTACAAATTCATGTTCTTGGAGGACTAGGCAGATGACTTTATTTCAAGAAATAGTGGGAGAATAAGAAGGACCTGGAGGTTATTGTGGGGGATTAGATAATAGTCTAAACAAAGGAAAAGTTAATGGAAGAAGCCAGAGGAGGAAGAGATTTCAAGAAGATAGAACTCAGATTTGAGAGTTGAGGGAGAAAATAATGTGGGGAGATTCCCAGGTTTCTGAGTGGATGGCAGGTTTTTTCTTTTCTTTTGTGATAGGAAGCAGAGGAGAAGAATTGGAGTGTGATTATTGGGAGAGGTGAGTTTTCTGAGTTGTTGGGTATTCAGAAAGTAAACTGAAGTGGAGAAGCTCCAACAGAGATATCTGGACTTAGATAAAGAGTTGGGAGTCCTAGATAAAGAGTTGGGAGTCCTTACCGTATAGGTATTTACTGAAATTGTAGGGCTGGATGGACTTTTCATTTGTCAAAGGGACAAAGCTCAAGATTATTCTCATCTTGTGTGTTAAAGAATAAACTTTTCCTTTTTTAATTTTTAAAAAGTGGTAAATTGAAATAGTGCCTTTATGTTATCTATTTTCCTTTTACATGCTAAACTGCTCATTTAAATATTTTGAAATTGGCTCAGTGCCTGTGGCTCAAGTGGCTAAGGTGCCAGCCACATACACCTAAGGTGACGGGTTCAAATCTAGCCAGGGCCCGCCAAACAACAATGACGGCTGCAACCAAAAAATAGCCGGGCATTGTGGCAGCTGCCTGTGGTCCCAGCTACTTGGGAGGCTGAGGCAGGAGACTCGCTTGAGCCCAGGAGTTGGAGGTTGCTGTGAGCTTTGATGCCACGGCACTCTACCCAGGGGGACAGCTTGAGGCTCTGTCTCAAAAAAAATTTAAATAAATAAATAAATACATATTTTGGAATTAAACTAGGTATTGTGTTTTCCTAGAATATTTCTACTCAAGGACATTAAGACCTACTTTGAAGCTAAAAAGCTTCACCTTCAAAATCTAATTTATAATTTTAGTAGCAACTGATAAAATTGTTTTTCATTCTTATCTAAAAGTTAAAAAGATATTACTTCTTAGTTTATGCTGTTTAGAGGGTTTGTCTTCAGCAGAAGGCAGCTTTAGAAATCTTATGTATATCTACTTGAGTGGTTGAGGCAAGAAAATTAAACCCAAGAATTGGAGGTTGCTGTGAGCTATGACATCACAGTACTCTACTGAGGACGACATGGTGAAACTCCATCTCAAAAAAAAAAAAAAGAAAAGAAATCTTTATATATGCCTACTGAGAGAGAACATTCGAATAAGGCTGCCTGACTATAGGAATTATTTAGATAATAAATATTTATTGGGCAGGGTGCCTGTGGCTCAGTAGGTAGGGCGCCGGCCTCATATACGGAGGGTGGCGGCTTCAAAACGGCCCCGGCCAAACTGCAACAAAAAAAATAGCTGGGCATTGTGGTGGGCCTATAGTCATCACTACTTGGGAGGCTGAGGCAAGAGAATCGCATACAGGAGTTGGAGGTTACTGTGAGCCTACGTGCCACCACAGCACTGTACCGAGGGCGATAAAGTGAGACTCTGTCTCCACAAAAAAAAAAAAAGAAAAAAAAAGATTTATTAATTTAGCTTTGGAAAAATTTCATTTAAGTAAAAATTAAAGTTATAACTTCATAGCACACTTCCAACATCTAGGAGAGTCTAAGATGTATTGTTAAATCAGTTCTAGGAAGAGGTACGAGTAAGCTAAGAGAATTCCAGGGTACACATTATCTTTTGATTGAGTAAAAGTTAAATAAATCTGTGTAGGTAAAGAAAAGGTGTGTTTTATATTGGTAAGGGCTTAGTTTTGATGTGTTTTTGAACGTTTGCAGTTCTTTTGAGGATTATAGTTTGGACTAATACATACTTTTACATTGCAACTAACTAAACAATTTGCCAAATGTTGTATAAGTTTTTGTTTAAAAAGAAAGAAAAAGACTCTAATCTAATTTTGTTTTCTAAACTGGTAATGATATACCTGTCTAAGCTCTGAAAATTGTATACTCATTAGTTTTTATCCTCTATTACTATATTTGAAAATGTGAGATTTCCTTCATAAGACCAAAAGTTCAAAGATTACTCTGTAAAATGAATTTTAACACATTAACAGCCACTAAAAAAAAAAGCAAGGGGGGCTTAATACTACATAAATAAAACTTATGTGGCAGTCAGTGTGTTAATAGTAGAGTTAAGTCTTTACTTAACATTGTTGATAGGTTCTTTTTTTTTTTGAGACAGAATCTCAAACTGTCACCCTGGATAGAGTGCTATAGTGTCACAGCTCACAGCAACCTCCAACTCTTGGGCTTAAGCGATTCTCTTACCTCAGCCTCCCAGGTAGCTGCCACAATGCCCGGCTATTTTGGGGTTGTAGTTGTCATTTTTGTTTTAGCTGGCCCAGGCTGGGTTTGAACCTGCCAGCCTCTGTATATGTGGCTGGCACCCTACCCACTTAGCCACAGGTGTCGCCTGTTGATAGGTTCTTGAAAACTGACTTTAAATGAAATGGTAGACAAACCAGTTTTTTTCTTATTAATGTTGTAATGAAATGACCTTAAAGGAAATTATGTTATTTGAGGGACCCGCTATATATCCTTTGCTTAAACTTGGAATTGCCAAGAACCAACTGACAATATTAAGTAAAGACTCAGTGTATGTGTTTGCATCTCCTAAAAGTTAAATCTTTGATTAAATGTGTCAAGAAATGGGAACTCCTTTTGGTTGAAAAAATTCCGTTATCATGAGTAAGAGTGAGAAATGTAACTTGGGAAGTATAACATTTAGTATTCGTCAAACAAATTATTATACTTTGTTATCATATGCTGTTGATGATAATTTTCCTTTTGTTTTGGTCAGCTAAGTCATAACATTAAAAATGTGGTACTTCGACCCAGTGGAGCGAAACAAAGCCGCCTGATGTTAACGCTACAAGATAATAGTTTCTTGTCTATTGACAAAGTACCAAGTAAGGATGCAGAGGAAATGAGATTGTTTCTAGATGCAGTCCATCAAAACAGACTTCATGCAGGTGAGCACTAATTGTCCTAGGATCTAACATTATCAGTTAAAAAAACAATAGGACTAGGCTGGGTGTGATAGCTTATGCCTGTAATCCTAGCACTCTGGAAGGTTGAGGCAAGAAGATTGCTTGAAGCTAGGAGTTTGAGACTAATCTAAGGAAGAGTAAGACCCCATCTCTTTAGAAAATAGGAAAATTAGCTGGGTGTGGGGACACATTCCTACAGTCCCATCTACTCACTCAGGAGATTGAGGCAGAAGAATTACTTGAGCGCAGGAGTTTGAGGTTGCAGTCAGCTATGATAACACCACTGCACTCCAACCTAGGTGACAGAACGAGACCCTATCTCAAAAAAAGAATATGTCTAGTCTATAGACCGATATTCCTCATGAATATTGTATTGATGTAAAAGGCTTCAGCAAGATACTAGTGAACTAAAATCAGTGGCACTTTAAAAGGATTATATACCACAAGCAAATAGGATTTAATCTGGAAAGCTAGGAAGAAACTTATGAAAATCAATCCATTTAATATACCATGTTGACAGAGTAAAGGACAAAAAACACATTGTCATTTCAATTGGTGCAGAAAAAGCATTTGACAAAATTTAACACCATTTCCTGATTAAAAAACAACCAAATAGGAGTAGAATGAAACTACCTCAATATAATAAAGGCCATATGTGAAAAACCCACAGCTAACATCATACTTAGTGGTGAAAAACTGGAAGCTTTTTCTCTAGGATCAATAACAAGGAAGGATGTCTGCTTTTGCTGTTTGTATTCAATGTAGTATTAGAAGTCCTAGAGCAATTAAGCAAGAAAATGAAATAACAGACATTCAAATTAGAAAGGAAGAAGTAAAATTTCTGTTTGTAGATAACTTGATCTTATATGTAGAAAACCTTTAAGATTCCATGAAATAATATGACTAGAAAAAGGAGGAGGATTACATGTGGGGGCCCAGCCTTGTGGCATACATGTGTAGTCCCAGCTACTCAGGAGGCTGAGGCAGGAGGACTGTTTGAGCCAGGGAGTTTGAGATTACAGTGGAATATGAAGACACCACTGCACTCTAGCTTGGGCAACAGAGCAAGAACCTATCTTAAAAAAAGTTATAATTGGGAAAACTTACCTATTACATAAATCTTAGGGATTTGCTTATCTATATGAAACCTATTCTGTGGTTGTAAAAAACAGTGAAAAAAAAATCACACAGGTTCCTCTCTTCTGCCAATCCCCATCCTTTTTTTTCCTTTGTAAAAAAATTGGTTTATTTTTTAGAGACAGGGTCCTGTTCTATCACCTAGGCTAGAGTGCAGTGGTATGATCACAGTTTACTGAAGCACCAAAATTCCAGACTGAAGTAGTCCTGCTCCAGCCTCTTAAGTAGCTGGAACCACACTATTCCTGGCTCATTTTTCTTTTCTTTTTTATTTTTTAGAGATAGGGGTGTCTCACCATGTGGCACAGGCTAGTCTTAAACTCTTGGCCCCAAGCGATCCTGCCTCAGCCTCCCAAAGTTCCAGAACCAGCCTGCCTTAGCCTCCCAAAAAGCTAGGTGTATTCCACTGTGCCCAAGTTATTTTTTTTTTAAATTATTTGTAGAGAGCGGGTCTTGCTGTGTTGCCTTGTCTATAAAATGAAGGTCATGGTGGCACCCGTGGCTCAGTTGGCAAGGGCACTGGCCACATAAACCTAGGGTGGTGGGTTCGAACCTGGCCTAGGTCTACTAAGCAACAATGACAACTGCCACCAAAAAATAGCTGGGCATTGTGGCGGGCGCCTGTAGTCTCGGCTACTTGGGAGGCTGAGACAAGAGAATCACTTATGCCCAGGAGTTGGAGGTTGCTGTGAGCTTTGATGCCACAGCGCTCTAACCAGGGAGACAGCTTGAGACTCTGTCTCAAAAAAAAAAAAAAAAAAAAGGTCATGTCACCTTAATTTCAGGGCTTTTTAAAGAATGAATGCTCGAAAATGTAAAACATGACTTCCACCTGCTAGGTACTCACTAAATCATTGCTATAATTAGATTAGCTAGCTGTGGGCTTAATGCTTAACTCATTCTGTGATCTTAGATAAGTCATTTTAGTCTTAAGTTTAGTTGCTTGCCTTAGTTGGCCACAGGTGATTTTGTATACTTTGCAGAAACCACAGTAAGATAATGAATATAAAAATACTTTGAAAAATATAAAGGATTTAATATAAAGTAAATATGGCATTCCATATCAGTGAAAAAAGACTATTATTTGATAAACTGTTATCTATAAAGAGGACAACTAAACCAATTATTTAAGAAGGTAGTAAAGCCAGATTTTTATCTCCTATTATCTAATTAGATTGTACATTAATTCCAAAGATTTCAATGTAAAAACATAAAAAATTTAAAATGCATTTTATTTATTTATTTATTTTTTTGAGACAGAGCTTCAAGGTGTTGCCTTGGGTAGTGTGCTGTGGCATCACAGCTCACAGCAACCTCCAACTCCTGGATTTAAGGGATTCTCTTGCCTCAGCCTCCCAAGTAGCTGAGACTACAGGCGCCCACCACAATGCCCAGCTATTTTTTGATTGTAGTTGTCATTGTTGTTTGTCAGGCCTGGGCTGGATTTGAACCCGCCAGCTCTGGTGTATGTGGCTGGCGCCTTAGCTGCTTGAGCTATATAGGTGCCAAGCCTTAAAATGCATTTTTTTTTTTTTTGAGACAGAGCCTCAAGCTGTCCCCCTGGGTAGAGTGCCGTGGCATCAAAGCTCACAGCAACCTCCAACTCTTGGGCTCAAGCGAGTCTCAGGACTCAGCCTCCCAAGTAGCTGGGACCACAGGTGCCCGCCACAACACCCAGCTGTTTTTTGGTTGCAGCCATCATTGTTGTTTGGCAGACTCTGGCTAGATTTGAACCCGCCACCTTAGGTGTATGTGGCTGGCGCCTTAGCCAGTTGAGCCACAGGCGCTGAGCCAATTTCAAAATATTTAAATGAGCAGTTTAGCATGCAGAAGGAAAATAGATAACATAAAGGCACTATTTCAGTCAATTTACCACTTTTTAAAAATTAAAAAAGAAGAAAAAGTTTATTCTTTAACACACAAGATGACAATCTCTGTGGTGAGGAAAAAAAGGCAAAAGAAAACAATAGCCAGAATTACTCTTTTCATTATACATGCCAATATAAAAAACACCAGTTTTGCAAATTTATAAGAAAAAAGGCAACTCAGTGGAGAAGTGGACAAAAAATTATAAATAGGGGATTTAGGGAGAAAAATATATGGCCCTTATTAATGAAAAATTCTCACCTTTACTAATAATTAAACTCAAATTCTTACCTTCACATTGGTAGCAGTTTGAGGGGAGGCAAGATGCTCTTAGTATACTTGGTAGGAGCTTAGAGATTTTTTTTTTTTTTTTTGAGGACTATGTGATAAGGTTAGTTTAGTTCAAAATTGTATATTCTTTAACCCAGCAATTCTTATTCTAATTATTTTATCAAAGATCCTTCCATAGTACTAGAAGATACGTGAAAGGATGTTAAGCATTGTTTGCAGTTTTGAAAAGTTAAAACATTCCAGCGCCAGTAGTCCCAGCTACTTCGGAGGCTGAGACAAGAGAATTGCTTAAGGCCAAGAGTTGGAGGTTGCTGTGAGCTGTGACGCCATGGCACTCTACCAAGGGTGACATAGGCTCTGTCTCAAAAAAAAGTTAAAATATTCCAAATGGTTATCAGTGGGAAATTGCCTAACCAAATTAAAGTATACTTTTAAAAACATATAAATCCAGACATAGTGGCTCACATGTATAATCCTAGCACTCTGGGAGGCCAACGCAAGTGGATTGCTTGAGCTCACAAGTTCAAGACCAGTCCCAGCAAAAAAAAAAATGCGAGCCCTTATCTCTACTAAAAGTAGAAAAACTGAGGTAAGAGGATTGCTTGAGCCCATGACACCACTGCACTGTACCCAGGGCAACAGCTTGAGACTATCTCAAAAAAAAAAAAAAAAGGCAAAAACATATAAATTCATATTTCTGCACTACCTGGAATGTTCTTTTTTTCTTTCTTTTTGAGACAGAGTCTTACTCTGTTGCCTTGGGTAGAGTGCAGGAACATCATCGTGGCTCATTACAACCTCAAACTCTTGGGTTCAGCTGATCCTCTTGCCTCCATCTCCCCAATAGTTGGGATTCCAGGTGCCTGCAGTTTTTCTGTTCTTAGTAGAGATGGAGTTTCACGCTTCTCAGGCTAGTCTCATTTCTGAACCTTGGGCCCCCAGAGTGTTAACATAATAAGCGTGAGCCACTACACCTAGCTTTGAATATTTTTTAAACCAGCAATAATTTCTTTGCAATAGAAGCCATTTATTCTGCTTGATAAACTTTTACTTATAGAGAATACTTTGGAGTATATGTTATTAGAGACATATCTGTTACTGCTTTTGACATGTTTCTTTGGCATCCATTGTCAGTGTTCATGCCGTCAATATACAGTGACAAACTTCTATAATGTTGATTACAGAGCAGAATTTCTAGTGTTTCTCCCCCCCTTTTTCTTTTTTGGATACACTTTTAGATAGACATTTTCTTTTTGCTTTCTACATTCTATTCTTCTATTAAATGTTGTCAGATTTTTGTGTTATTAATTTTTTTTTTTTTGAGACTGAGTCTCCTTCTGTCACCCTTGGTAGAGTGTCGTGGTGTCATTGTAGTTCAGCAACCTCAAACTTCTGGGTTTAAGTGATCTTCTTGCCTCAACCACCCCTATAGGCCTCTACTACAGGCATTTGCCACCAGTGCCCAGCTAGTTTTTTCTATTTTTAGTAGTGACAGGGTCTTACTCTTGCTCAGGCTGGTCCTAAATTCCTGAGCTCAGGTGATCTACCCAACTTGGCTTCCCAGAGTGCTACAATTACAGCTGTAAGCCATCACATCCAGCCTTAATTTTTTGACTGGGGGTTCCAGTTCTAAATTTTAGTTACTAATACTATACAGATATTTATCAGATGTGCATTCTATCAGAAATGGTTGATAAGCGCTTTAATTTATCTTTCTCCTGATGTTTTTCCCTTTTCTTCAATATTATATAAAAATAATGGTAAATCTTTTTATTACAGTAAGTGATGATTTGGGGATTTTTTTTTTTTTTCATCAGCCACGAAACCTTCTCAGGGGTCTGGTAGTTTTGGAGCCATTTTGGGTAGTAGGACCTCACAGAAGGAAACCAACAGGCAGCTTTCTTATTCAGACAATCAGGTATGTTCTTTTGAATCTTTTTAGCTTTTTAAAAAAAATGGTAGTTGGCTCTGCGCCTGTAGCTCAGTGGCCAGGGTGCCAGCCACGTACATCATGGCTGGCAGGTTTGAACTGTGCCCCGGCCTGCCAAACAACAGTGACACCTACAACAAAAAAATAGCCGGGCATGTGACAGGTGCCTCTAGTCCCAGCTACTTGGGAGGCTGAGGCAAGAGAGTCATTTAAGTCCAAGAGTTGGAGGTTGTGTGAGCTGTGATGCCATAGCACTCTACCAAGGGCAACGTAGTGAGACTCTATCTCAAAAACAAACAAACAAAAACTGGTAGTGATAGATGTTGTATGAGGTAGTTGCAGGTAGCTAAATTTTGACTGCAGTACCTAATATTTCTGGCATTGTCACAAGAGTATTTTCTATATATCTGAAATTTATTGGTTTAGCTATATAACTCTTGATTTACTTTTATGAAAATCTTTCTAAGATTGGTCACGTTCTTCTCATTTTACATACAGCTTTACTAAACACACTTTAACCTTTGATGTCTCATGGTCGTCATTATGAGCCCCCAGAGAGTAGTTTTTAAAAGCTTGGCTTTGGAGTTAAATGTGGGTTCAAGACTTGGTGTTGCCACTTACTAGCTATAGGCCACTGGGGAAGTTCCTCAAGTATCCAAAGCCTCATCTGTAAAATTGAAATATTTTACAGCAATATTTCAAAGGTTCTTATGAAATAATTCAGGTAACAGTGTTTAGCTCATGTATATGGTCTGTATACTAACAGCCCTGTGTTTGCTGATATGATTTCTTTAATGCCTTTTGGGTCTATCCTAAATTATGAACTTTGCCTTTATACTACATGATACCAGACTTTTTGTTTTTTGAGGTCTTCTGTTTGCTTTTCAAATAGTTTTTCTTTCATAAATCATAGTCAGTCAGCTGTGAGGCTTATTTTGCATCAATAAGTCATCTTAATCAAAACTTAGCAGTCCATATGTCTCTTTTAATTTGTTTTGCAAAGGGAAGCCAGGCATGAAGTAAGAGAAACTTTGAAGTCCTTTTCTAAGTATTAATAAATTTATGAGTTCTCTTTGGCTGTACAAAGAGGTCAATACTTTGTGCATTTACTGAATTAAGCAATGAATAAAATTTTATTTTTGTTGGGTTCTTTTTATAGGTTAGATTTTTGGGGAGCCAGTTTTATTAAGTATAATTGACATGTAGTAAATTGTACATATTTAAACATATTCATATGGTTTGGCTTATGTATTCACCTTTAAAATCATCACCATAGTCAACATGGTGAACATATCCTTATCTTTAAAAGTTTCTGCATTCTCCTTTGTAATTTTTCTCTCTGGTTCCTGTTTAAAAGCAACCACTGATTTGGGTTTTATTACTATAGATCAGGTTATATTTTCTGGAGTTTCATATAAATGGAATCAGTGTGTAATTTTTTAGGGGGAAAGGGGCATAACTTCCTTCACTTAGCATTGCTAATAGTGGGTATTATACATTTTAAGGACAAATACTGATCTTTGAAACTTTTATTTTGGGATTAGTAAATGTGTGTCTATAGATTTTGATGTAAAATATTTCTTACTGTGGGGTCATGGTCAAAATTTTGAAAAGAGGCTTGACACCTGTAGCTTAGCAGCTAGGGTGCCAGCCACATACACTGGAGCTGGTGGGTTCGAACCCAGCCTGGGCCTGCTAAACAGCAATGACAACTATAACCAAGAAATAGCCAAGTGTTGTGGTGAGCACCTGTAGGTCCAGCTACTTGGAAGGCTGAGGCAAGAGAATCACTTAAGCCTCGAGAGTTGGAGGTTGCTGTGAGCTGTAACACCCTGACACTCTACCCAGGGTGGCATAGTGAGACTCTGTCTAAAAAAATAGTAATAATTCTTTTTTTTAAAAGATGCAAAACTTTACATATAAAATTTTACCATTTATATAACAAAGAGAATAAAATAATATTGATGTATATTTGCATAGCAAAACAGAAATACTTACAAGGGGTAGGACAGTGGGAAGTAAACAAACTGGATGGATGGGAGGGTGATGATGAGACTTCTCTGTGTCTATGGCTTTTAACTTTTTGATTTGTG